TTGTTGCTTTGTGGAAGGCATAGTTTGGGGGGCAAATGGCCTTACGTCAATCGGTTCTCGAGCATCCCATTAGGCAGAAGAGAGCAAGTTTTGCAAGCCTGGTTTAAGCACAACATCTTCACTCCTATTAGGATTGCTTTCGTCTACTTCAAAGTCGTCATCCTTTTCACTCTTTTCTCTAGGGTAATTTACTATTTATTTAATCAATTATACTCACTTTTTTTCTTTATTATTTCTAGTCAAATTTATGACTTTCTTTACATGATTCGGTTCTAAAGAAAGGCTTAATATTATAAAAATATCTCTAATGCTGGATAAAGTCATCATTTAATCTATTTTTGTAATAACTTTACACAATTTCAAGATAAAATAATCTCTAAGAAAATAGTTAATTGAATAAAGATGAACATTTTCTCTAGGGTAATTTACTATTTATTTAATCAATTATATTCTTTTTTTATTATTTGTAGTCAAATTTATGACTTTCTTTACCTGATTCGGTTTTAAATAAAACTCTAAAAATTATTCTTAACACTTGATAAAATAATCAATTTAATTTTTATCTATTTTTTCTTTTAAGTATTTTATGTATAATATTTCATTTCGGAGTAAAATGATTTCTAGTTAGATGAGATAAAATAGTCTCTAGTTGGATGAGATTTGTTAATTGAATAACGATCGACACTTTTTGCTGACGTGACAAGTCTTTTGTATATATAAATGATGATGTGATCCATATAATTTGTACATAAGTGATGATATGACACATGCTATGTGTTTAAAGTGATGATATGGTTTATGCCACATATAAGTAAACGATGACATAAAACATGTCACATATACATAAGTAATGACATTATAAATATCACGTTATTACTTTGGATATATAAGACTTGTCACATTAACGATAAACGTTGATCATTAATCAACTAACGATTTCTATCTAGCCAAGAAATATTCTGCCTCAAAATGAATTGTCGGAATCAAAGTACTTCAAAAAATAATAGGGACCAAAGTGACTATTTTACCAAATATATAAATTATAAATATGAAATCAATTTATTAACATTTTAATTGATAAATAGGTTGATTATATGAGCCAAACCTTTTGCACTAGAAGATTTCTTTATTTGGATATGACGTCGGGTTGGGCCGACCTTTGTTTTTAATTTATAGAAAAACTAGTATTTTAATTAAAAAATTGTGAGTTCAACTAATAAAATGGTGCATGCATGCCCATTTACATCTAGGTTAGGTGAGGATCATTACAAAAATTAGCTGGAATAAAGATAAATTAAAAAGATGACCCAGATAGTATTCCCTTGAAAATTTAGAATTATTATATATATTTAAATTATTTCATGTATTTTTATTAAAAAAAATATTTTTCCTCTTATAATTTTATAAGATTTTTTTTTAAAATTTTAGATGTTTATCTCCTGATATGAAATTTTGGGTCCGTATCTTACTGGAATTATATTTATAATTGGTTAAAATATGCTGGTATTTCCTATACTCTTTGCACACCATAATTCAGTCATGTTTTTAATTTTAAGAGTTTAAACTCTCAGAATAAGGTAAAGTACATAGGAGATCCTTAAAAAATATTCAAATACATTTTTGATCATTTAGTTTTTTAAAAATTATTAAATTTATTAAATTATTATAAAATAAGAGACGTATACATTATTTTTGTATAGGAGCTGGTTGTAATCTCTTCTCTGAATTAAAGTTTAACTACAATCGGAAATTATCTATAAAAGAATAAAACAACAATTATCTATAAAATTAATCATTTTACTTTTATTTTATAGAATTTAACCCCTTCACCTTTATAATATAATTGTTTTTTAAAGATAGTTTCCAATTGTAGTTAAGCTTTAATTTGGGGAAGATATGATAAGTAGTGATGGATATTTGATTCAAATTTAAAGGGTTTTGATCCAATTTTATGCATATTTGAATATGAATATAAGACTGTAATATCTAAAGATTTTTTTAAAATAAATATTAAAAAGTTAATATATTTGTATCTGACACTCGTATTCGAGTTCAGGATTATAATTTTCCTTGTTAACAATTTGATCCTCAGGTTGATGAAGATGGTGAAAACCCAGCATGGGGAGCTATATTGGGTACAATGTAGACAAAGTTGAGAATGTTGCAAACGAGAGACCTCTTCAGAAAGGAATGGTTGAGACAATGCATGCAAAGGACTCCACTGATCTTTATAAATCACTAATAAATAAAGGCCTTCAAGTCATAGAAGATCCCAAGAAAAACGTCATTGAAATCAAATGCGACGCCGTAATAATCGGCTCGGGATGCGGCGGTGGTGTTGCGGCGGCAGTGCTGGCTAGTTCTGGCCTGAAGGTGGTCGTTTTAGAGAAAGGAAACTATTTCGGTCCGGCGGATTATTCCCCCTACGAAGGTCCTTCGATGGAGAAACTATACGAAGCGGGTGGTAGTCTTCCTAGTATCGATGCGCAGATACTGGTTCTCGCCGGCTCCACCGTGGGTGGTGGCACAGCCATCAACTGGTCAGCTTGTATAAAGACACCTGAACCGGTGCTTCGAGAATGGGCGGACGACTGTAAAATCCCGGTTTTCGGGAGCGAAGAGTATGCTTCGGCCATGGATATTGTTTGTGAGAGAATTGGTGTTACGGATGATTGTAAGAAGGAAGGTTTTCAGAATCGAGTTCTCCGTAAAGGGTGTCAAAAACTCGGCCTCGACATCGAAAACGTGTCGAGAAATTCATCGGACGACCATTATTGTGGATCGTGCGGGTTTGGTTGCAGAAGAGGAGAGAAGAAAGGGACAGACACAACATGGCTGGTCGATGCTGTTAACAATGGCACGGTCATTTTAACAGCCTGCAAGGCAGGTAGATTGATTTTGGAACGAAACAAGACAGCAAGTACAAGGAAGATGAAGTGTTTGGGTGTTATTGCAGAATCATCAAACCAAAATATCACGAAGAAACTGCGAATAGAAGCCAAAGTAACAATTTCAGCATGTGGGGCACTTCAGACACCTCTCTTGATGCATTCGAGCGGCCTTAAAAATCAGAACATCGGTCGAAACCTTCATCTCCATCCGGTTTCAATGGCATGGGGTTACTTTCCAGATTCAGATTCAAATACGGATTCAGACCTTCAAGGGAAAACCACTGAGGGTGGGATCATCACATCGGTTCATAAAGTGTTGGGATCAGATAATAAAGTGCAAGCCATTATCGAAACTCCATCAATTGGGCCTGCACAGTACACTGCATTATGCCCTTGGGTCTCTGGTCTTGACATCAAGCAAAGAATGCTAAAATTCTCAAGAACTGCTCATTTGATAACAATAGTCCGGGACCGAGGGTCCGGGACCATCCACACCGGTGGACGCATTACGTACAAGTTCAACGCATTAGATCGAGAAAATATCCAAGCCGGGTTGAGACGGTCATTGAGGGTTTTAGTAGCGGCCGGGCCGGTTGAGGTCGGGACCCATCGAAGCGACGGGCAAAGAATGAGATGCAAAGGGGTTAGCGATGACGATTTGGAGGAGTTTTTGGACTCGGTTTCACCGGCGAGCGGACCATTGTTTAGTGGCATAAATTGGGACGTTCACACGAGTGCACACCAAATGGGGAGTTGTAGGATGGGGATTAATGAAAATCTCGGTGCTGTGGATGTAAACGGTGAGAGTTGGGAAGCTGAAGGATTGTTTGTTTGTGATGCAAGTGTTTTACCGACTGCCATTGGTGTTAATCCCATGATTACTGTCATGTCTACTGCTTATTGTCTCTCACACAGAATTGCAGCTAAAACACACAAAAGTATAGTCTTTTGAATTGTGTCAATGATTCACCAATATGTACGTCTTTATGTATGCATTGTAATGGAAAAAGATTAAAAGTTAGTAAAAAATCTCGCATCCTTTTGTTTGCACGAAAAGTTTGGATTTTTATTCTAAAAAGTTGAATAAATTAACTTTAATTTGATAGCTTTACTTTTATTCTTTCGTGAGGAGTTCTACATTACACGTATGATTATTTGACTATAGACATATTTTATTTTGATGATTGATCTCTTAATTACACTTATGATCATTTAACTATAGACAGATTTTATTTTAAATATTGATCACTTAATTTTGTAAATAAGATCAAATTGATAAAATAATGTCAATCAAGTGTATAAAATATGTCTACGGTTAAATGATCATAAGTGTAATAACCTAGCTTTTATTCCTTTCTAACGATTATATGCACAGTAACAAATGATTTAGATCTCAAATTAATTTTCAAACACATATATTTCTCCCAAAATAATATTCGTTTGAACTATTTAGCCAACAAAATTAGTAGTAGAGTCAAATAAAAATATACAAACACTTAAATCACTAAAATGAAATTAATAATTTGATCACAAAAACTCAAACTTTGAACTTTTTTTTTGAAAGAGGATATTTTGTATTAAGAAGGATAACAAAGTACACCACCTCAAGAACCTTATTAAAAAATCTCCCTAATCTTAAATGGAGGAAAAAGAGTGTACCTTAAGGTGGTCAAGAACAAATACACATAACACTATTACAAGGTTCAAACTGAACCCCCGCCCTACCACAAACCCCAATCCGACAAGTATAACGAACACAGGCAAGCCGACAATATACATAGAGAACACACTGAGTAACATACACAAACAACAAAGCCAATGGTAAGAACCTATTGGCACTACTAAAACACCAGGACAAACCCAACATACTAAGCTTGGCTCAAACCATATTAAATAACGTTGCTTTTTGCCAAAAGTGGGAGCACCACCCATGCCTCCCATGCTAGCACTACAACCAAACAAAACCACCCATACTTCCACTTACTCACCACTCCCTCCTCCACTCTAATGCCCATACCATGCTCACCCTAAACCAATAAAAAATCCTTGAAGCATCAAAAGAGTTAACAATCACCCGACAACCACCTTAAATCCACCAAAAAGATCAACATGCGGGAATCTGCATGTCAGAAACCCAACTTCACACCTCTTACTATGTGTAACATTGAAACATTCTACATTAAGGACAACCTCGAAACCAATAACTGCAACCAAGAAAACCTCTTATCACCGTCTACTGCTGAATTCACCACTCCACCACCGGCCAAAGAGCCATCCAATGAACACTCTTTCTTCTTCATGAACCACCGAAAGAGAATAGAAGGAAAAACCGTACCATTAAAAGAAACATAACATTACTCCAGAACCACCGAAGCACACTGCACATCCAGAAGCAATCTGGCTTCATCAGAATGAACTCAATTTCTTGTTTCTTCTAGGATTGAAAGAAATGATCCCCACAAAGATCCAGAACAAACTGAACTACTGAAACGCAAACGGAAAACTAACACAGTGAACAGCTGAATAAGACATAGAAAACTGACATAGTGACCTGTTGAAGAACACAACCCAAACCATAGAACACTAAGTAAGAGTTTGCCTTAAAGGAGCAGATATTTTCGAACCCAGAAGCTTGATTCCCCCAAAAGAAGTTGAGAAATGATCCATCACCCAAAATAAAACATATATCTTGATTTTGTACTTTGATCACGTTTTCCCCATCTCTAGCAAAACACACGTCTTTTAGCCTATTTGGATCTGCGCTTCTCCTTACTTTGTTGGATTGATGAAATGATGACATGCTTTGAAGAGCATGAAACGGACATGCGATGAAAAGAAAAGAGAGTGAGAACAAAGATGGCGAAGTAGGAGAATACCAAACAAAGGAACACTAGCTCTGTTTTGAAAATCGGACCGGCCGGTTCAACCGGTTCAATCGAGAACCGTTGCCTAGTCCGGTTTAATCTAAACTGGTTGAATCGCTACTAGTGAACCAGCCAGAACCACTGAACCGTTCGAACCGGACTGACTGAAAACCGGGAAAAAACCAAAAATTTTGTTTTTTGTTTTTAAAAATTAAACCAAACGTCGTTAGTTAAACGAGCCAAGTCGAACTCGAGTATTGCTGAGCTCGACTCGAACTTGAAAACTTTAAAAGTAAGCTCAACTCCACTCAAACTCACAAGTTAAAAATTATCAAGTTCAACTCGAACTCGAAATATAATATTGAAACTTGAACTCAAAAAGGCTTGAACTAAAAAAAATTTAGAAGCTCAATTGAAGCCTAAAATTCGAGCTTGATTGAAGTGAAAGAATAGTTCACTCAATGCTCACCAAAAGGCTCCATGATTTTGAATGCCAAATTACATCTATTATTTATAGAAGTTAGTTGTGATGCTCTTCTATGTTTCTTAGCAATGTGGGATTGTTTTGTTCTCATATTTTTACTCTTTAGACTTTTGAGATGCTCTTCTATGTTTCTTAGCCATGTGGGATTGTTTTTTAAAAAAAATTAAACCAAACAATATCATTTTGTTATGATTTTTTTAGCCCCAAATTTATTTTTTAATTATAGTTATATAATTATATTTATTATTTAATATGTTTTACCTTAAATATTATGTTGTAGTTAATTTGAATCATTTTGTTTCACTTGATTTTATGGTTTTTAATTTATATATGTTATGACTTGCTTTGAATATGACTTGTGATATAAAAAATTATTTTTTATTAAATATTTTTGGTATTTTTATTTAATTTTTTAAATAATTATGACGTCGTCCGGTTTTTCCGACCGGTCGGACCGGTTCGACCGATTGAACCAGTGAACCGGTAGTATGACCGGTTCGCTAACCAGTCCGGTTCTGAAAACCATGAACACTAGCGAAGTTGTTTTGTTGTGGCTTAGCCTAGTTGAAAGGAAAGAGTCGGCCATGAAGTTTCAAAATAATTATCGAATATAGGATACTATGAGTCTCTTGATCATTAAAAGTTATAAAATGATCTCTCGACTATATGACATTGTTTTGTTGAGTCTTTCGGCTATTAAAAGTTACAAAATGGTCAAATTATTCATTATGTTCCAAACTTGTCCTTTTTTGTTAAAAAATTAACAGTCATATGAGTCGGACTTTAACATGCTGTCTGATATATGACAGTCGTTTGAGATTTTAATATCATATTTTATCATATCTCAATCAGTAAGATAACGTCTAGCTTAGATTATCTTTAATCTTTTAATCTCAGTCAGTTTGACTTTAACGAGTATGGAACACAATTGATAGATAAGTGATCATTTTGTAATTTTTAATAATCAGGAGGCTCAACAAAATAATGCATTATATTCGAAAATCATTTTACAACTTTTAATAATCATCAGGTCACTCAATAAAATGATATCTTATAATTGAGAAATTATTTGTATAATTTACCCTTATTTATAACTTAAAATCGAAATAATTTAAAACCCAATCAGTAATTCAATATAACTTTAATCGTTAGATCCATTTAGATAGCAGTAATTTCTTATTATCCACATCCCTTAATTGGAAAATTCTACGTCTTTAACTTCTCTCGACAACTGTGCTATAAGCTTATCCCTATTATCCCCAGACAAAGAAGTTGTGGCCAGTGAGAAGATGAAGTCACTGCCATTCTCAGCAGGAACTTACATCCCCAAAATCCCCAACCCCAGAACCCCAATAAAAACACACTAAACCCAGTAATTAGATGCTCAAAAAGGAACCCAAAGTTGGGTTCCATAGACATTTTTTAGCAACAAAATGAGAATTCCAACAAGGTGCTGTTGAAGAGAAGAGAAGGAATTGGTATCGGTTTATGTGTTGGGATTGATAATGTTTTGTTGCAGTTTCTGCCACAGCCCGGTCCCAGTGTTGCGGCCATTGATGCAGCCACGGTGGCTTGTGAATTGACTGTTAGCCGTTCAGGTTTGGCATTCTGTGATAAAGTTGTGGGGAAAGGCCCTGAGGCTGTTAAAAGGCAGCTGATAAAGGTTAGTGAACAATTATTCGTTTCAATAAATTTCAACAATTTTCAACTGTGAATGAGTATGAAAGGATGATTGTTCAAATCTATATGTGTATGTGAATGAAACAGGCACATTATGTAGGGAGATTGGAGAATGGGAAAGTGTTTGATAGCAGCTATAACCGTGGGAAGCCTCTTACATTCCGAGTAGGTGTCGGTGGGGTACTTCCAATTCTTCTCTTATTTCACTTGTTTTACGCTTTTTCTTTCAATTTGAAGATTCTAGTAGCTTTATGTCGAAATCAGTTATGAGCTAAATGATACTGTTGAAGTACTAAAATAAAAAAGTAGTTACGAGCAACAATTCTTCCTGGATGGCGGCGAAGTGTGCTGCAGTTTTCGTTCGGAATGACAAGGGTGCAATGGTAGGGTCTGTGGACAATATTCGAATCTTATGTTGAAGTTATTGAATCGATTATACCTCAAAAGAAGAACAAAGACGGGCAAAGATTTGGTTTTGCAAGTTTCTCTAGTGTAGCTGATGTGTGATGAAGTAAAGGTGCTTGACAGTGATGAAGTAAAGGTTTCCCAATTTGATGCCGTGATGAAGAGTCTGATAAGAATCCATGGAGTTGTCGAGAATAGTTCACGTTGGGAAGGGGCTTCGACATCGACGTCAAAAAGATCACTGGAAATTTTAATTTCCATTGTTTTCGATGATGAAGAAAAGATGGAAGCGGTGAAGTCACTAATATGGGTGTGGTTAAGCAATTGGTTTAAAGAAGTTGGGGTATGGTCTGATGAATACTACATGAGTGGCAGAGTGACTTGGTTGATGATTATGGCCTCCCTTTGAAAATTTTCAATAAACAGAGAGGACGAAACTTAAAGAATGTAGAGAATAGTAAACCATGACTAAAAAGATTTTCGAGCAGATCTCCCTCGGATTCGCACTTCCAAAATAGTAAACAAGTGATCCTAAAGGAGTCATAAAAAGCATGGAGCTTAGGTAAGAGCATTGGTTTTCTTTCAAATGGTTTCGATGATTTATTCATAGAGGATCTTGTAAATATTGAATTGGATAGAAGACTAGAGGGCCAGTGACAGTTTGGTAAGGCTGTTGAAGGGGCGTGTGTCATTGTGAAATGTGGGATCTACATCCTGTGAGCATGAAGCTAATTATGTGGAATGCGCATGGTTAAGTAGTACTGTAAAAACTAAAACTGTAAGTAAACTTTTAAGAACATCCAAAGCGGATATGTTACTTGTACAAGACCGAAACTTGAAGATGTCTCTGATCAGTTCATTCTGAGGGTATGGCTGAACAATGATTTCCAGTTTCTGTTTACTGCGTCTCAAGGGAGATCTGCTTATTGATGAGGGCGGCCTATTGATGATGCTCAATGTTGTGTCCATGGTGTAATAATTCCCTTGAGACCATTGATCATCTGTTCATTGGTTGTTCTTTGGCAACTGCTTCATGGTACAATGATGGTTTGCTCGGTGAAATTAAAGAGGTGACTGTCACTCATATTTTCAGGGAAGCAAACGGATTTGCCGATGCTCTCGATAAAGCCGAAACTAACAGGTTCAATCGGTTTTTTGCATGGACTTAAGACTTGATAGTGGAGGTGTGCTTCTGATACATGTTGGTATTGGTTGTTGCACTTGCCCTGGTTATTGCAGGGATGACAAGGATGTGAAATGCATTGCTTTTTATATGTTATGTCTCGTGATTTTGCCTGTTTGTTTCTTCGGGAGTTAGTGTTCTGTTCGATATTCAATTTGATGCTTATGAGATTGTACTCGGTTGTCTTTTGCTGGTATTATGTTTCGATATCGTCTTTTTAATTCTAATAAATTATTTTCCGAGCATAGAAAATAAAAGATATTTAATAGGAATTGCCGCAGGTGATCAAAGGCTGGGACCAGGGTATTTTAGGTGGTGATGGAGTTCCTCCCATGCTTGCTGGTAAGAGATAGAAATCTTAATTCTTAATTCACTATTCTAAATCAATAGTAATTTAATTTCTTTTATCATAATGTAGGGGGAAAACGAACATTACGGCTTCCTCCGGAGCTTGGATATGGTATGAGAGGTGCCGGCTGTAAAGGAGGTAAGCAACTATAGAGAGCTTTCTGCACTTCTTATTTCCATACAAAAGAGTTTGCATTCTAAGACGTTAGTATTCAAATCTTCAACTTATAACTATATTACTCAACCTATTTTTATTTGTTGAGTTATATCGGTTACCTTTAGGGGGTGTTTGGTTCAAGGATTGTGAGATTCTCATGGGATGGAAATCCCACATTCCCATGTTTGGTTGGCTGGGAATCTCATTCCCGGTAATGTTTTATTACCAATAGTAGATTTTTTGGGGTATATTACCGGGAATGTCATTACCTCCCTTCCCTTAGGTATTGTAACATTACCGGCGTTTTGGACTAAAATGTCCTTAAATTTTATTTTTTTTCAAAAATATCATTCTTCTATCATTGAATAATAAAAATTCTACGAATGTTAAATTACAAATTTATCCTTAAATTATTTAGATTTACAAAAAAATTCTAAATTAAAATTTTATATGAAGTTCAAGGATTAAAAAAAATTTACCCTTTCATTAACCTTTTTTATATTTTTAATTTTGTAAAAAAATTATATAATATTATGAATTTAATTTTTTAAAGAAAATATATAAATATTTTATAATTTGTAATATTATACAAATATATAATAAGGATAATTTGGTCAAATATACATTCGAATAATCTTTTATTCCTTTAACCAAACACGTAATCTTACATTCCTGCTAAACCAACCAAACACAAAATACAACATTCCCAGTAATCATATTCCCTGGTAATCTTTTATTCCCACTGGTAATCTTATATTCCGTGAACCAAACGCACCCTTATGGTATATTGACAATTATGAAGGGGTTTTTTAACGAGACATCCAATTCTTATAAAAAAAAAATTATATTGTTAAGAAGAATAAATTTACCTCTGTTCTCTTGAAAGAATACCCTTTTATTATTGACCCGAGTTTGATCTTAAGATCAGTCGGAAAGTGGATTAGATCCAAACAAAACTCAGCATCGGACAACGTACAAAATTTACTGCTCTTATTGTTAATCTTTAGTATTTTTCTCTCATATAAATATATATATTGGATGTGTTGCAGGTTCATGTATTAAACCCCCAGATTCAGTTCTATTTGATGTGGAATTCATTGGCAAAGCATGAAAAACAGCATGGAAGCTTCCTCTTTGTGAATAATGGGAATTTTTACAGGAAACTACATTCACTTTGTTTTAGGTTTTTGATATATATATATTTTTTAAATTATGGATTAAATGAAATCATTGATGACACAATTTAATCTTGACCAGTCAAGAACTTTCGACAGAGATCAATTGAATATATTGATGTACCATGAAAAACCCTTCATAATCATTGATTACTTGTAGAGCAAGCTACGGAGGTGCAATGCACTGTGGTTGAACTGTAAACAAACAAAAAAGAAGGGGGATGAGCTTGAATCGAAGTTCTTGATTCAGTGATGTTTTGATGATGATGAAGAGGGACACTGGTAGCACTTGGCGAAGAGTCCGAATGTGTTGACTTGGTTGATGAAATTCGTCATGCTTGCCCAACCTCCCAATCCGAATCCAACTGCGAACACCCGTATCTCGGCTGCATTCTATCCATATAATTACACTGTTATGATATTAGTCCGAGCAGAGGTCGGACGGCGTAAACATTTACTAGCAAATGAAGAGATCTGACCGTTTACGAATTCACCTTCCGTGCAGAGGCCGATATATAGTATATGGGCTAAGGCCGGGATGATGTGGACTAGTTGAGAAATTCGTGACCTTTTATAATAATCTATATTAGTCTATTAATAAATTTAATATCAGAATTGCATGTCCAGCTCAGTTGGTAGAGTGTAAGGTTCTTAACCTTGAGGTCGTAGTATCGAGTCTCACGGTTGGCAATTCATAATTGTTGGAGGTCTTCCACAGAAGTTGCTCTCAATCGAACGTTTGGGGTCAATCTACTATCTTACCTTCTTCTTATTTCATTTAATATGGGAATAGGGTTAGCTATTTAATATCAATGGCTACAGAACGGGGTAGAGATACTAAACCAAGACCATTTTCTTGATGGGTAAAGTGTACAAATGATTCATTGATTATAAGATACTATTTTATTCAATCACCTAATTGTTAAAAGTTATAAAATAGTCCTTTGACTATATAGAGTATTGTTTTGTTTAATCTCTTACTATTAAAAGTTACAAAATGATTATTTTACTATTTATATATTCTAAATTCATACTTTTCCATTAAATAATTGACGATCGTATGAGTTGGACGTTAAACTATTAATTGAGATATGATAGAATTACATTTTAATAATACCTACTACCATCACTATTATTTTCAAGCATTTGACTCGATGACGTAATATAAACGGAAAGTTGATCCACAAAATATAACTCAAACGGTTTTAAGATCAAATTCTATTATATATTAGTTAACATGTTAACGTCAAACTCAGATGACCATTAATTTTTTAATGGAAAAAAATGAATTTGGAACATATGAATAGTTGAGTGATCATTTTATAACTTTTGATAGTTGGAGACGTAACAAAGTAATATCCTACAATTAAGAGACAGTTTTATAATTTTTAATAATTGAAATACTCAATAAAGCAATACCTTATAAATAATTTTTTGGAAAAATTAGCCTAAAAATCCAAGCGGACGAATTACTTAACTCAATAGGACAACTCAAAATTTATTTTCAGATCTACGGTATTTATTATAGTGTTTCGTACAATTTTATTTCATATCATATGACAAATTCTAATTTTAAATATATTTTTATGAAAATCGTCATGTAAGCGTGACGAGTTATACAAACATTATCGTAAATACCATAGATCTCAAAATTATTTTTGAATCACTGGGCTAAATAATTTACCCGCTTGTATTATTGGGTTGTTTTTTCCGAATTATTTGCATTTGTGTACTTTAGCCTTTCTTAATTAAGTAAAAACCTAAAACTCAAATTCAAACCAATTCCCACCATAGAAAATATTCGGAACAAATCTCAACCGTTCAATCAAAGGAAATCACAAAAACCCTAATTCCCCTTTCATCTCCTCTCCTACTATATAAGTCCATACTGTAACCCTAAATCCTCATTTTGCACTATCGTAGAAGCAGAGGTTAAAGAGACGGCGCCGTCTTAGCTGTCCACCTTGACCGACCATCCGGCATCGTCTTGGTCCTCCATTTTCCCTTTGTAAAATCCTTTTTAACCCCTAAAAATGGTAGCGAAACCCTCCAAGGCCGAGAAAAAAATCGCGTACGACGCGAAGCTATGCCAGCTCTTAGACGAGTACACCCAGATCTTAATCGCGGCAGCCGACAACGTGGGCTCGAACCAGCTCCAGAACATCCGCAAGGGTCTCCGAGGCGACTCAATTGTTCTAATGGGTAAGAACACTATGATGAAAAGGTCCATTAGGATGCATGCTGAGAAGACAGGAAACCAGGCCTTCCTTAATCTCATCCCTTTGCTTCAGGTGATTTGAAAGTTTGGAACTTTTTTATGTATATGGTTTGAGATCTGTTGTGCTTGATGATTAAGTTTAAGTAACACTTTTCTTTGGTTATTTTGGAATAAAGGGAAATGTGGGTTTGATCTTCACTAAGGGTGATTTGAAGGAAGTCAGTGAGGAAGTGGCCAAGTACAAGGTGGTTTGATTTTAGAATTATTCTGTCAATTCTTTGAGTTTCTGTAGTTAATGGAATATTGAAGTATTCGGGTTTTGCATGATTAATAGCAAGTATACTTGTGTATTTTAGTTCACTCATATCAATAATTTAGTGTAGTTAGCCAAATGAAATGGGAAATTGTTTTTATATTCTTTCTTGATGAAAAAATATTGAATTTTTAGAAATTTGACTGAATAGAGGGTGGTTCCTTGATGTACTTACTTTTGGTAAATGGTAACTCCTTTCATTGCATTTAAGGATAGACTGTTTAAGCTTATTTTGATTGATAAACCAGGTATCAATCTTGTTGTGCTAATCTGTGTTCTTTTGGTGTGTTTTGAAATTCAAATGATACTATTGTGATTTTCTGGTTGTTGTAAAGTTTAGTTTCACTTGATTTAATGTTGTTTCTTGCTCTTGCTTTTGTAAGTTTGTTTTAATATCATATTTTCTTAATAACAGGTTGGAGCTCCGGCTCGTGTCGGTCTGGTTGCTCCCATTGATGTTGTTGTCCCACCAGGCAACACCGGTCTTGACCCTTCCCAGACCTCTTTCTTCCAGGTAATTCTATTTTTCTGGCAGTAATGTTTGTTTTTATCTGGTTTTGGGTGCTCTTTATCCGAGTCTTTGCACGATTCTTAACTACTGTTACGTTTTAGGTGCTCAATATTCCAACCAAGATTAACAAGGGTACTGTTGAAATTATCACTCCCGTGGAGCTTATCAAGAAGGGTGAGAAGGTTGGCTCTTCTGAGGCAGCCCTTCTTGCCAAGCTTGGAATCAGGCCATTCTCGTATGGTCTTATTGTCTTGTCTGTTTACGACAATGGATCAGTGTTTAGCCCCGAGGTGCTGGATCTCACTGAGGATGACCTGATTGAGAAATTTGCTACTGGTGTCTCAATGGTTACGGCTTTGTCTCTGGCCATCTCGTACCCAACCCTTTCTGCTGCACCACACATGTTCATCAATGCCTACAAGAATGTGTTGGCTGTTGCAGTCGCAACAGAGTATTCCTTCCCTCAAGCCGATAAAGTGAAGGAGTACTTGGCTGTAAGAAAACTATGCTTTTATTCGAACATTTTCTTTTTGGCTTCCCAATGTTAGCTAAAATTATGTTCATTGCTTCCAGGATCCAAGTAAGTTTGCCATTGCTGCCGCACCCGTTGCCGCTGCTGCTGGTGCTGCTCCTGCTGCTGCCGCTGCCGAGGATGAGAAGAAACCCGAACCTGAAGAAGAGTCGGACGATGATATGGGATTCAGTCTCTTTGACTAAATTTGATTTGTATTAAGCATCAAGATAGAGGATTACAAGACAGTTTTTGATCATCAGCTTGGATTATTTCTCAGTTTCTTTTTTATGTTCTTTCATTTCTCCAAGATTGTTGAATTTCAAAGTATAATTTGGTCGTTTTGTTATTTCTATATATATTTCCCAGTTTTTATTTGATGTATTTTAAATTTGTTTGATTGGAGTTTTGTACTTTCGGTTTCTTTTTTATCTTCTCGAGGTTAGATGTGTGGGTTTGATCTTTGCTTTCTACTATTGTCAATGGTTAATGGAGGGCTCTAAGCTTTTTCTCCCTTTTTATTTTTTATTTTTTCTGTTTTCTCTCTTTCCCTTTACTTGTTTGATCTGTTCTATATAAATTCCTTGACTTGAAACTCGATTTGATTTTAGAGGATAAAAATATGCATTTGATTCTACATAAATATATATAACGATAAGCTATGTCAATGGTCATTGATGTTTCGGTGAGTTTTCGTTTTCATCATTAATGTTTCAAAAGTTATAAATAGGTCACTAACGTTATCGTTTGTGACAAAATGGTCACTGGCCGTTAACAGTCGTTAAGAGGCGTGACGAAAAATATAGTCGTTAAGAGGCGTGACGAAAAATATAGTTAAACAGTTATCTGTTGAGTTGGATCGTTGACCGCTATTTTGACTGGCTCTTCTTCTTCTTCAACCCAGTCCCCATCTTTTTATTCACTTTTCTTCTTTCTTTCTCTTCTCTTCAAAGACCAACTCCGATTAACAATGGTGTTCGTAAGAGAATCCCCATCACTGCACCAATCGGTGCCGTTGATTTTGAGAGCAACAATTTTATTTCGCTGCTTACAGCAGATGGCTTTGTTGGAAATAACATGTGTTACGGTCACCCAGAGAAATCCAATCCGATCGAGATTTTTGCCTCCAAAGAAGTTCTTCTTGATCAAGGAGGTGTTCAAGATCAATGAGAAGATCAAATTCCAGATTTTGTAAGAACTGAGAGGATCTCATGCAAATTACCTTTTGAATACAACGAAGTCTAGCCATGATCATCCGTTTCTTTTTCCCAATGTAACCAAACACATATTAATTCCAAGTATCCACAACTTTGGTGAAGTGGAGAATAGTTTTAGTCATGTTGGAGCTCTTAATCCAATTGTCGCCAACAATTCTGGAAAAGTATTCATGACAGAGCTATCCAGTAAAATAACGAAAAAGCTGCACAGAAGAAGGTTTCAGTGGACTACCCACGTCTAAGAGAATTGGGCGGTGCTCCGAACAATTTGGAGAAGATGATGGAATGTGGCTTCCGCAAAGTTCTCATCCCAATAGTTGTTATAAATGAATTTATCCAGACGAACTTGGGAGTATCCTCTCGATCATGTATAATTAGGACCTTGATAGTGCATGTCCCGAAGCCCATAGTCGAAAATGAGATTTTGGAACTCTCTGCAAGGTCAGGCGGATATAGCACAGTTTTTTTTCTATCTGAATCAAATAAAGTTACATTGAAATCTCCAACAAGAATCCAAGGAGAATGAATTAAAGCCGCAAGACACTTGAGATGAGGCCACAAGAGTTTACGTCTTGAAGCTGATGGACTAGCATAAACGACTATGGATAAGGAGGAGTTGTTGCTTTGTTGAGTAATCCGAAAATGAACAAACTGAAAATGATGCATGAGGAGAATCACAGAGATAATATCATACCAAACAACCCATATACCACCAAAAAAACCAGAGGCCTCAATCCGATGTGAGTTAGGAAAATTAAGAGTGGAGATAACATAGTCTGCTTTCAGACCACTGATACGAGGTTAAAAAAACCACTAAGTCAGGTTTATTATCGCAAAGAATTGGTTTAGCCGCCAGAAGGAAACGATAGTCACCACATCCCTGGACATTCTAACATTGTAATTTTAAATCTATAAAGAAAAGAGAGGGAGGATCATACTTTATTCAAGCATTGCCACAACAAGGTCTCTACCCATGTTATGGCTTACGATATCAGAAATAACATCAATACGAGCACTATTGTCTGTGTTCATTGGTGCAACTTCCCTGGAGTCGCAGATAAGATTCGTTGTCTTATCCGAAGGGTCTCCGAATGGTTCATTTTATTTGTTTGTGTTATCCAGAGCTGGTTGAGGATTAGCAAGAAGGATGTTTGGGTCTGCATTTTCATCAATGACTGTAGATGAATGTCTAGTTTTGTCAAGGGCGAGGCCTTTATTGGAGTTTAAGCTAGACTTAGAGCTATTGTCTTTGTCAAGTTGTCGAGACAATATGGGGAAGTATGAGAGGTTGATGGTTAAAGGTTTATGGATGGTGGTGGCTTTTGGTTGTCGGGGAGTAACTGCACTTTTTCTTTATTCTTTGTTTTGACCGTAGGGTTTGCAGTAAGCACCCTTGCCTGTTGAGGAGCTTGTGAATGATCAGGAACAATAGTTGAAATGTCATTTTTTTGCTCAGTCTCGACTTCAAAGATAGGGTTAAACATTAAGCCGTTGAACATGGGTTTGTCAGCTTGAGGCTTCTTTTCACTACTGCTTTTGTTTGTACGACGAGTTCGACGAGCATCCACCATCCAAGGGCCATAAGTGTCGCTGCTGGGATGCGGTGCAATATTGGTACGTGGAGGAGTATTGATTTCAGTGTTATCTTCTGTCTGGAGTGTAGGGCAGGCTTCAAATATAGGTTTTAAGTTTGGCCTTTGGAGACGAGGATTGTGTCGTGTGTGAGAAGAGGAAAAGAAGAAAAGTGAAGAGAAAGAAAAAAAGAAGAAAAGTGAAGAAAAAGAAGTTGGGGAATGGGTTGAAGAAGAAGAATAGCCAGTTAAAATGGCGGTCAACGATCCAACTTAGCAGATAACGGTCCAGTTGTATTTTTCGTCACGCCTCTTAACGGCTGTTAACGGCCAGTGACCATTTTGTCACAAACGATAACGTTAGTGACCTATTTGTAACTTTTGAAACATTAGTGGTGAAAACGAAAACTTACCCAAACATCAGTGACCATTGGCGTAATTTACCCTATATATAATTATTTTATTAGGTAGAATAATAATTTGATTAAACAATATTAAAAAAATATAGATATACGAGTATTATATTAATTATTTTTAAATATATAAAATTTAATTATGATATTTTTTTTGAATTGGATCAATACTTAATAATATTTTTAATTTTAAATTTAAATCTGATTTGATTTGATTTTGTCGTTCAAAATTTTTATATCACTCATTAACCTAAATTTTCAATAAAAAGTGATCGACCATAAAATTATATCAAAATTTGTCAAACTCATATTAAATATATATCTTTATTTTATTATTATTATTTAATGTAGTACTCTCTTTCTAACCAAGATCATAGTTTTTCATGACGGTAAATGAGATTGTGGTTATCTGACATTCTCTTTCTAATCAACAACACGACCTTTTACTACCATAAATGAAATTGTGATTATTATTTATTATTTCATGTAAATTTTCGTTAGGATGATTTTAATTTAGATTTTTATTGTTAAAAATTTGGGAAAATAAAGTATTTTGTTTCTTTCCCTTAACAATCTCTGATAAAAATCAAAGAAGAAAGTTGGAACAAGGAAGCAAGCAGGGTGACGCAATGTCCAAAATTCATTTGATTTGGTTCACAAAGAAGTGTGTGATCTCATAAGTTGCATGATTGAGGCCCATTTTTTATTAAGTAGTGGTGGTGATCCCAACAACTCAAATCTTTTTTTTTTTGTGGGGGTGTAGACGTTGAGTTCCTCTGAGCTCTCCTTCACAAGTTTTGTTTATGTAATAAGTCTTTAGTTTAATTAATATCATTATCGATAAAATATATTAAGTGATTTTAGTGATTAAAAAATGTGTTATTCTTCCTAGAAGTCCTGAATTCGAGTCGTTGCATCTATATGGTGTATACATATTGTCAATAATTAAGAAAGATTATGAATAGATACTATATTGCAATCAGTCTCATACTATTCTAGAAAAAAATATCGTTATCGATAGAACTCATCAAGTGGCATCAGTAGTTAAAAGGGAGTGGTGTTCTCTCTAGAGGTTTTGAGTTCAAAAAGTTGCATCTACAAAATATATGTGTTGTCAATAGTTAAGATATTCTGAACAGATACTACATTGTAATCACTCCATACTATTTAGAAGAAAAAAATCATTGTCGATAAAGCCCATCAAATGGTCTCAATGATTAAAAAATAGTATTATTCTCTCTAGAGGTCCTGAATTATTATTGTCGATATATATATTATATATAAATAATATAAGATCGAACATGTTTAAAAATTTGATATCTTCTGATTTGTTGGCAGAAAGAATATGAATGATATAACTATTTTATAAAAAAAATTGTTGATAATGTACGTGTGATTACATATATTTTAACTTTCGTAAAATAATTAAATTCAAATTCGAGTTAAAAAAGTTATAGTTTGACCATCTTTATAATAGAACCACGTAAAGGGAACACAAATTGAGAAGATGTGACTTGAACGACTTGGCCAAGTTGCTTCATATTCAAAATCAGTGAACCACGAAGTTTGATATGTCAACTCAAAGCTACATAGATATGTATCTAATCCCAAACTATATTGCCCACCGCCCTATACAAGCATTTGCTAAAATGCCTACAACTAGCTCAAATCCAACTCAATATTTTTAAAAACGTATAAATTTAAAAGGCTAGATTAATTCCATGGAAGAAGAAGATGGTTTTGACATTGAACTTTTGATAAATGGTCAAGACCCTTGGAATTAAACCCTGTTTTGGATCTTAAATATTGATAAAATAGTCGGTCAATCATGGTTGATTAGGCTAAAGTTTGGTCTATTTATATTGATCATTTTGTGGGACTTGTTTGGGATACTTGCCCTACAGGTCTAGGTTCCTACTTGCCCATCATTTTTATCAAGTGGCCTTGAAAATTCCCTATGGATAAACAACCTACACGAATTTGATATTCAATGAATTTGGTCAAAATTTTCAAAGTGGGTAGTGGCAGGTTTTAACATTCGTATTTCACTAATTTTATTTTTTGGTTTTATGTAATT